ACTTGGAAGGCAGCAGCAGGCAGATTTCTGGTCTATAGAACAAGTGTCAGGACAGGTTCCAAAGCTACACAGAGAAACCCTGTCTCAACACCCCCCCCAAAAAATCACCTATATATTAATTTCCAAGATATTTTCATTAGTAGTGGTTCCCCCTCCTACTATTGCAGAGGGCAAGAAAGTACATGCCGAAGTACATTTAAGATTTTAAATATCTACTGTATATGGCAGGAGGGTACAAAAAAGCAGAGTAACTTTATTTTGGGGTGTGAGCACCTTAATTTTTGTTTGTGAGGCAAGGTCTTGAGGCTATCCTCCTGCATCTGGCCCCTAGTGCTGGGATTATAGGTAGGCATGCACCACCACTCCTTGTCTAGAAATTGAAGAGTAACAAAGGCCAGGTGTGGTGGTACATGCTTTAATCCCAGCATCTGGGAAGCAGAGGCAGGGGGATCTCTGAGTTCAAGACCAGCCTGGTCTAGGAGCAAGTTCTAGGTCAGCTAGGGCTACCCACCACCACCTGGCTTCAGAGAACCCTGTCCAGAAAGAAAGACAGAGAGTGGGGGGAGAGAGAGAGAGAGAGAGAGAGAGAGAGAGAGAGAGAGAGAGAGAGAGAGAGAGAGAGAGAAGAGTAGGGCAACAGGGCAGGAACCAAGCAAAAACATAGGCTAGACGAGCACACAGTAAGGCCTTTGTGAAAAACACTTGGCATAAAAGCTTAGAAATTCACCTCTACCAGGGAAACCCCAGCCATGCCATAGATCAGCCCCAGGTCCCATCTGATGATTACCAGTTCAGATGTGACCCCACTTTCTTTTCTTTTTTTTTTTTCTTTTTCTTTTTCTTTTTTTTTTTTTTTTTTTTTGGTTTTTCGAGACAGGTTTTCTCTGTGGCTTTGGAGGCTGTCCTGGAACTCGCTTGGTAGTCCAGGCTGGTCTCGAACTCACAGAGATCCGCCTGCCTCTGCCTCCCGAGTGCTGGGATTAAAGGTGTGCGTCACCACCGGCCCGGCTGTGACCCCACTTTCTCCAGTAGACAGATACTCTGTCACTGACTGGGGGTCTGGGTCTTGCAGCAGAAGAAGCAAGCAAGCAGGACTGAAGAATTTGATTCTTATATACATAGCACAAGCATTTGAGCATAGGCTTGTGCACACACCTTCTCTAAGAGACTGTCTCAGACCACCCTAGAATCCCCATCCAGTGACAGACAGAAGCAGAGGCAGACACCCACAGATAAACACTGAACTGAACTCCTGGAACCCAGTGACAGAGAGGGAGGAGTGAGGAGCAAAGGGGTCAAGACTGGGCTGGTGAAACCCAGAGAAACAGCTGGCCTGAACAAGGGGGGAGATCTTGGACTCCAGACTGATGGCTGAGAGGCCAGCATGGGAATGATCGAGACTCCTTGAATGTGGGTGTCAGTGAGGAGACCTAAGCAATCTAATGGGGCTTTGAGTAGTAGATGAGCATTTATCCCTGGCACACAAATGGACTTTGAGTGCCCATCCCACAATGAGGGATGCTCTCTCAACCTGGACACTTGGGGGAGGGCCTAGGCCCTCCCTGGAACGAAATGACAGACTCTAGAGATCCCCCATGGAGGGCCTTACTCTCCCTGGGGAATGGAGTGGGGTTTGGGTGGGGGGCTGGTGGGGGGGAGTGGGCGTTGAGGGGAGGGAGAGGGAACTGGGACTGACATGGGAAGCAAGCTTGTTTTTTAATTTAAATATATAATTAAAACGTTTTCAAAAAAAAAAAGAGAGAGACTGCCTCAGATTTGCTGAACCCCATTCATACTCCAAGCTAAGTCAGGCACTTGATCTTTTGTCCTTAACTCCAGAACAACAGTCCATAGCTACACTCTCCCCAACACAACGATTTGATGGAGTATTCTCTAGAGGTGGCTTTACCTATGTGACGTTGCCAGCCTACAGAAACTTAGGAACTACAGTCTCAGAATGCTTCTCAATGTTTAAGATAAACAGGATTACAAAAGAAACAAGAGAGGTAGAAGTGTGGTTAACGGCAGAAGAACTCCTTGAGAACAGGGATTGTCTGTAAGGTCAGTGTCTAGCACAAAATCTGCATCTTCAATGTACTTACTGGGACTTCGGTGGCGCAATAGTTTGTGTGTAGTACTTATACATAGATAGTACTTACAAATATTTATTTAATGAATGGCTGGAGAAAAGATAGCTACCATCAAGTCAGCCTGGGGAGTAATTTCATCGCAACTGCCTATTCACACATCAGTAACTTGCATGTGTCTCACCACATCTGAAATAATCTAGCAAGGTCTGTGAGAGATCTCACAGTACCACAGCAGCTAGCAATGACAGCAATTGGAAGATCAGGAAAACAGCAAAGCTCATGTAATCCACCTGCCAGAATGTTTAAAGTAATCAGGCTCTGTCTCAAGAGGACACCTGGTTTGGGAAGCATGATGCTCACATGACCTTTTATGCTATGACAGCAGTGACGAGCAAAAGAAAGGACCTGAGCAAGACTGTCTATATTCTCTAGGGCTCCTCCCATGTCCGAAATTGGTCCTCTCATCTCTGGTAAAGAGAAATGACCTAAAGAGTACAACAGGAATGAGACATGACTTTCTAGGTTCAAGTAACAGTTTCAGACTTACCCTGAAAGTTTTAGGGTTGGCAAGATTGCTCAGTGGATGGCAGTGCTTGCCACCAAGCCTGGCAACCTGAGTTCAATTCCCAGGACCCACATGGTAGAAGGAGAGAAATGACTCCTGCAAGCTAAGTTGTTCTCTGACCTCTGCATACACACAATAGCAAGCTCTCCAACACACACACACACACACACACACACACACACACACACACACACACACACACACACAGAGATAAATAAGTATAATAAAAATTCTTATGTACTAACAGAAAATCTAAGGAAGCCAGAAGTAAATTCCAGTTCCTTCACTAAAAATGTATGAAGGGAGCCAGGCATTGGTGGCGCATGCCTTTAGTCCCAGCACTCAGGAGGCAGAGGCAGGTGGATCTCTGTGAGTTTGAGGCCAGCCTGGTCTACAGAGCAAGTTCCAGGACAGCCTCCAAAACAATACAGAGAAACCCTGTTTCGAGCCCCGCCCCCAAAATGTATGAAGGACCAAAAACTTGTTGGAAACGGATTTTTTTTTGAGACAGCATTTTATGTATCCCAGGTTAGTCTTGAACTTGCTACATAGCTGAGAATGACCTTGAATTTCTGAGTCTCCTGTTTCTACTTCCCAAGGATCAAAGGCATATGCCTCCATGCCCAGTTTATTTCATGGTAGAGACTGTGCCAGGGTTTCATGCATGCTAGGTGAGTACTTTAACAACTACGTTCTGTCCTAGCCCAACTAAAGATTCTAGAAAGTCCAGTTTTAAAGCTGAAACGCATCTGAATTGAGTTCAGAAATCCCACTCTTAGACTCTTCAGAGTGACCTGAAAGCTTCTCTGACTATATATGGCCATTGAAGAGATGGGTGGACATAGTTTTCAGTTGCTTTATAGTTTCCAAAACCTGCAGGTAGGAAGACAGGTTAAGGTAGGCATCCTCTAATTTTTGTTTTTTAAGAAACTAAGGTCAAAATTTTACTTTTAATAATAATAATAATAGTTCCAACTCCTAAGCTGTGTGCTTTTCTGGCCTATTCTTTAAGCCATCTGTAGAGTGTCTATATTTTCCCTAGTACAGTAAACAATATAATTAAAGAAATCAGGAACTGATAATTAAAGAAATCAAATTGTCCACTCTTCCCCAAACACTGAAGAGGGTCAAAGAGAAGGGATCACAGCACGGAAAGTGACCCAGGTCTAAATGTACAAACAACATTTAGGAAGAAGCCCCCACTCCCAGACTTAATTGTCACAGACAATGTTTCTTTCCCAGGGAGTCCAGCTCACTCAGGAGACATCTAGTCCATGCCTCAGGAAAGGCTGGAGGTGTTTCCAGTCTTCCCTGCCAAGCCTAAGTCTTTTTATGAGCTCAGTATCTCCCAGAAGCATCTGTGGCATAAACGGAAGAAGTGATTCTCAAAGGGAATGGAGGCAGGCAGGCACCTGTCACTGTTCTCCAAATCAGTCAAAATGCTGCAGAGCGTGGGATCCAGGAGACTGAAGGATGAAGAGAAGGGGAAGCACCAAGTGAGTGACTGCTTTTGGTTCCAAAGCCAAAACTTGTACACACACACACACACACACACACACACACACACACCAACTTGTAATCCAGGCTCCCCAAAATAGCAGCTGGTCTGCATGAGGAATTCTGCCATTCTTGGAGCCAAGAAACAAAAATGATGGCCTTGGAGCCCCACCCCATGACAGCCACAGTCCAAGAACTAGAGCAATGTACACCAATCAGTCTGCAAAGGAACAGACTAATAATCCTGGTAAGGAGGATGGGGGCTTTGACAAGGCTGGGGGCAAGGTGAGCTATCCAAAAAGCTGTGACAATCCCTTGATTTCTGTGTGCCCTTCTGCATATCACTGGCCTCTTCTCAAAATGGTACCCAACCCTCAAAGAGCTCGAGGGGCATCGGATGCACCTTTGGAAGATCATTCCTTGCCCTCTCCTTGTGAAAGAACTTCCCCTTTTAAGCTGATGATGGCATGCTACTTTCCACTCTAAGCAGAGTTCAACTTCCTTTTGCTTCCGAGTTTTGCACTGGCCTCTGAGGCCACATCCAGGATACAGAGGCAAGAGCCCTTCTGTATCCATGTGAGAGCTGGTCGTCTTCCGGTGTCAGATCTGTGTTCCAGAGTTTGGCCAATGCATCTTTGCAACAGTGAAACCATGCATGTGTGCACAGACTATTCTGGAAAGGGTTCCTGGTTATTTTGACGCCTCCCCTAAAAGCAATACCTTCCTTGGGGTAAGATGATTAGGACACTGGATGACCTGTTCCTAACTTCAGGAAAGGTAGCTTGTTGTGTCCATTTGTCTGTCAGTGAGGGGGTAGGATGAACCCAACATTGTCAGTTACAACGAGATTTGTAGTTTGTTTTTTTTAAAAAAAGGTTCTATGTGGAAATGAGTGGGACAATGATAAAAATAAACATAATTAAAATTCCAAACCAAAACATAGCTCTTGGCCCCATCCCCAGTTAGTCCTCCAAAACCACAATCTCCACATTGTGGACCTGATGCTGGTGTTCTTCCATCTCGGCCACCACTTTCTCCTCAGTCCTCAGCTCTGTCTCCAAGATGACTGCTTTACCCTCAGTGTCTTCAGCCTCAGGGTCTGGAGCTGGGTCAATTTCAATGATGGTCTGCCCGTCCTCTGCGGTGCTTTCAACAGCCTGGATTGCTGAAGTCAGGCCAGACTCCATGGCCACGAGCTCCACAGGGCTCACCATGGTGGCCATATTGCCCAGGGTACTACCATCCTGCATAGTGGTGGAGCTTAGTAGAGCCAAGCTTGATGAAGGGTGGATGGTCACTGTGTCTGGTGAGTTGCTCTTGGCAGAGGAAACCACTGTGGCATATCGGAAGAGCTGAGGTCCAGAAGGCAGCGTGTGGACAGTCACAGGACTGGAGCCCTGGCTGAGGGTAGCTACTGGAACATTGCCCATAGAGAATGACTGACCGACGGGGGTGATGGTGATAGGTGAGATGACAGTAAACTGAGGCTGCTGGACAGGAGAGGGGCTCAGGACAGTGGTGGAGGCTGGACGCTGGAGCCGGGGTCTTTTTGGAGGCTTTGGGGTGCTCACAGGCATTAGTACCACATTTTGAACTGTCTGGGGTTTCAGTCTAGGATCTTGGCTTTGCTTTTTTTGCTCTTCCAATTGCCGTTCCAAATCTATGGGGGGGGGGGAACAAAAGAAAATATCCACAGCTATAGCTTTGTACAGCTATACTTTGTACAAAGAAATGTCATCTTGGGAACACTAACCAGGGAGTCAGGAGACAGCCGGTCCTACACTGTGTAGCCTCAGGCAAGTCACACCATTGTTTCCCAAATGACTTGTGGAGATCATTCTTTTAAATCCTTCAGTAATTGCACTTAATGGTGTGATTATGGGCAGGGCAACAATTCAGAGTCCTTTAAAACGTGATCTTTCTTTACTCAACCCCATATACTCCTCTGCAAGTTTTTCATCTCTTGCCAAAACACAACTCAAAGAAGCCTCCCATAGTCTTTTTCCTTTTAATAAGTATGTGATTTATACCCAGGGCCATGAGCATACTAAGGACATGCTTTAACATTGAGCTACATTTCCCAGCATACCCATACACAGATATACATATATTTTAATTACATTCTCATCTTTAATTATTTGTGTGTGTGTGTGTGTGTGTGTGTGTGTGTGTGTGTGTGTGTGTGTGTTTGTGTGTACATGTGAGTGCAGGGTGACTGTAAGCCACCTGGTGTAGGTGTTGGGAACAGAACTCAGATTCCCTGAAGAGGAGAAAGTGTCTTTCCAGCCACACCTAAATTGTATAGAGTTATAAGGCATAGGATAACATTTTTCTTTTAACTTTTGTGGTTTATTTATGTGTTTTTTTGTTTTTCAAGACAGGGTTTCTCTGTGGCTTTGGAGGCTGTCCTGGAACTAGCTCTTGTAGACCAGGCTGGTCTCAAACTCAGAGATCCACCTGCCTCTGCCTCCCAAGTGTTGGGATTGAAGGTGTGCCCCTACCACCTGGCTTGTTTATGTGTTTAAGTGTACATGTATGAGCATGTATATGTGGATACATGTACAGACAAGAAGACAAACAAGTGTTTATCTCCTTTAAGACACAGTCTTGAGACCAGCTTGGTCTATAAGAGCTAGTTCCAGGACAGCCTCCAAAGCCACAGAGAAACCCTGTCTCGAAAAACCAAAAAAAAAAAAAAAAAAAAGACAGTCTTTCAGCCGGGCGGTGGTGGTGCACGCCTTTAATCCCAGCACTCGGGAGGCAGAGGCAGGTGGATCTCTGTGAATTTGAGGCCAGTCTGGTCTACAGAGCAAGTTCCAAGTTAGTCAGGGCTTCACAGAGAAACCATGTTTCAAAAAAACAAAAAGCAAAAAGACAAAACAAAACAAAAAAAGTTTCACATAGAGTATCACCCGTGGATTAGGAATAAGTAATAGAATTCTCCAGGCTTTGTTGTCAAGGGTGAGGTGTTCTTCAAGGACCACTAATCCACACCTCTATTCATTTGCACTGTGAACCTGTGAATTTTTTTCCCTAAAAATTATTCTCATATCCTCTTTCTTTCCACCTTCCTATGTCTTGTGCAGTGGTTGGGCTCAAACCGGGCCATTGCACATGAATACACGTGTTCCACAATGGAGCTATACTCTCATCCCCCAAATCTTCTCAGCTTTCTCCAGGTCTAAGAGAAAAGTCCTTTTGTTCTTCTACCACACCTACAAAACTGAGTATTTTCTTGTGCTTACTTGTTTCTGTATTTGTTTTTCCTTAAGTTCCTTAAAGACCCTGAAATGAACAAAGGAGCTGAGTTAACGTGACCTAGGTGCTCACACTTTGACTGCTCAGTTTATACATTTATTGTATTTGCAGGGTGAGGATACATGTGTGGGACTGTGCCCTTGTGTGGAGTCCAGAGATCAATATTGGATTTTTTTTTTTTTTTTGGTTTTATGAGACAGGGTTTCTCTGTATTGTTTTGGAGGCTGTCGGTCCAGCCCGGCCTCGAACTCACAGAGATCCACCTGCTTCTGCCTCCCGAGTGCTGGGATTAAAGGCGTGCATCACCACCACCCGGCCAATATTGGATATTATTCTTGATCACATTCCACCTTATTTTTTGAAACAGGGTATCTCAATGAACCTGGAGCTCCTCAATTTGGCTAGGCTGGCTGGCCAACGAGCTCCAAGCACCTGCTGTCTCCTCTTCCCCAGTACTGGGACTGCAGATGCATACCCTGAGCCTAGGTTCTTCATGTGTGTAGTGGAAATCCAAACATGAAGTCCTCATGTGTATAGGGCCAATACTTTATGAACTCAGCCAGCCATCTCCCCAGTCACAATTTATGATTATGACAACAGTGGAAAATGTACAACATTCATAGTTAGCAAAAACAGCCGTATCAATAATGTAGAAAAAGGAAAGCTGATTCATGTCTCCTGTACCAACATTCCTAGATTATTAGAATATCTGAGTGACACATCAACCCTTCAAAAAGCATTCAAGATAAGCACATGTCTTGGAAAAGAGGTCAGTGCACGTACCTGCCAGGGTATAGAGATACTGCCCCTCTCCCTGCTCCACTTGCTTCCGTCTGTTGTCCAAAACTCTCTTGACTGTGTCCATTAGGCCAAATGTCTGTGCCACATTGTTTAGAACAGCAGCATCTATTTGAAACAAATCACAGGCTTGTAGAGTCCAAATAGTCCCCTATTGTACTAGTTATAGATCTAAAAGAACAGCTCAGAGTGGTGGTGCATGCTTGGAATCCCAGCACCTGGGAGACAGAGGCAGTACAGTCACTCTGTAGCCTGAGTTCTAGGCCAGTCTAAGCTATATAAGCCTCTGATTTGACCACAGCTCCCCTCATCCCCAACAAGGAAAAGAATAAAGAAATTATGGAACTCTCTTAAATACATTTCAAAAAACTGTTGTGGTGGTTTTGAGAAAAGACCTTGTTGCCCAGGCTGGCCTCAAACTTGCCAAGGATAACCCTGAACTTCTACTTCCCCATCTTTAGTTCTATGTTGACAAGTGCTCATTGCCATGCCAGACAATTTATTTATTTGTTTGTTTGGTTTTGGTTTTTCAAGACAGGGTTTCCTTGTGTAACAGCTCTGGCTGTCTTGGAACTCAATTTTGTAGACCAGATGGGTCTCACAGAGATCCGCCTGCCTCTGCCTCCCCAGTGCTGGGATTAAAGGTGTGCGCTACCACCTAGCTTCCTATAATTCTTGGTATTCACCCAGCATTGCAACTCCAAGATCTTTGTTCTCTGCCTGAAAGTTCTTTCTCCCAGCTTATTATATGCCTAAGTTCTAACTCCAAGATCTTTGTTCTCTGCCTGAAAGTTCTTTCTCCCAGCTTATTATATGCCTAAGTTCTAACTCCAAGATCTTTGTTCTCTGCCTGAAAGCTTTCTCCCAGCTTATTATATGCCTAAATTCTAACTCCAAGATCTTTGTTCTCTGCCTGAAAGCTCTTTCTCCCAGCTTATTATATGCCTAAGTTGTAACTCCAAGATCTTTGTTCTCTGCCTGAAAGCTCTTTCTCCCAGCTTATTATATGCCTAAGTTCTAAAATCCAGATTGCTGCTCAAAGCTCACCACCCACAAACCTTTCTCAACCACTATGAAAACAGCCACCTCAGCTTTGTGTGTAATTTACTTGTGTTTCATTCCATGCACGTACTGATTTACAACTGGGTGGAAGTTTGTTCTGTGACAGACGACTTCCTTGGCATACAAAGGCCTTGGTTTCATCTGCAGGGCCCACACAATAAGTGTGGTCAGTGAGATGGCTCAGCAGGTAAAAGTACTTGCTGCCAACCCCAATGATCAGAGTTTGATTCCTGGGACCCACATGATAGAAGGAAAAAATGGCAAGTTGTCCTCTGGCCTCAACATATACACTATGGCGTTGATAATGCGCCTCCCCAAAAAACAAACAATCAAATAAATAAATAAATAAATAAATAAATAAATAAATAAATAAATAAGACGGGCGTTGGTGGCGCACGCCTTTAATCCCAGCACTCGGGAGGCAGAGGCAGGCGGATCTCTGTGAGTTCGAGGCCAGCCTGGTCTACAGAGCGAGTGCCAGGACAGCCTCCAAAGCAATACAGAGAAACCCTGTCTCGAAAAAACCAAATAAATAAATAAATAAATAAATAAATAAATAAATAAATAAATAAATGAGAGTGATAAACAAATGTAAGTAAAACTGGATTTCCTGGTTTAGGCATAGCAATCAGTAGGGGGAGACAGGAGGATGAGAAATTAAGTTCAACCTTAGCTATGTAATGTTTGAGAGTAGTTGAGATACATGGAACCTGTCACAAAAATTACATATTGAAGCTGGGCATGGTGGCTTGCAACTTTAACCCTAACACTTGGGAGGCAAAAGCAGGCTGATCTCTAAGAGTTCAAGGTCAGCCTGGTCTATACATGGAGTGCTAAGACAGACTCCAAAGCTACACAGAGAAAGCCTGCCTCAAAAAGAAGAAAAACAAAAACCAACAAAACAAAACAAAAACCAAATAGATCTAAAAAGAAAAAAGTAACAACTAACAAGTGTAATAATTCAGTAAAGATACAAGCTATGAGGCTGAGGGAGGCAGAGACAGGCGGATTTCTGTGAGTTCTAGGCCAGCCTGTGCTACAGAATGAGTTCCAGGACAGGTTCCAAAGCTACACAGAGAAACCCTGTTTTAAAAAACAAACAAACAAACAAAGAACACATACTGTTAATCCAGAAGACCTGAGTTAAGTTCCCAGCACCATATCAAGTGTGGTACACACTGCTAGCTCCAGGGGGAGCTGGTGCCTCTGCCCTCCAAGGGCACTTGCATTCATATGCGCGCGCACGCGCGCGCGCACACACACACACACACCAACACAAGTTATATAAGCTAGATTCATTTTGGAGGAGAAAACTACAATCAGAGTGGACTATGGATGGGCAAGTCTGTTTTTCGAGGCAGGGTTTCTGTGTGTAGCCCTGGCTGGCCTGGAACTCAAGAGATATGCCTGTCTCTACCTCCAGAATGAAATTTTTATTTTATGTACATTGGTGTTTTGCCCACATGTATGTCAGTAAGGGTGTCAGATCCCCTGAAACAGGAGTTACAGACAGTTGTGAGCTGCCATGAGGATGCTGGGAATTGAACTCAGGACCTCTGGAAGAGTAGCCAGTGCTCTTAACCTCTAGCCATCTCTCCAGTCTATGAAACATTTTCTTTTTTTTTTTAATATGTAATTTTTTAAAGATTTGTTTATTATGTATACAGTATTCTGCCTGCATGCCAGAAGAGGGCACCAGATCTCATTATTAAAGGTGGTTGTGAGCCACCACGTAGGTGCTGGGAGTTGAACCCTGATCCTCTGGAAGAGCAGCCAGTGCTCATAACCTCTGAGCCACTTCTCCAGTCCTGAAACATTTTCTTGATTGATGATTGATGTGAGAGAGTCCAGCTCACTGTGGGCAGTGTCACCCCTGGACAGGTGGTCTGGGTACATAAGAGCACAGGCTGAGCAAGGCATGGGGAGCAAACCAAGAAGCAGCAATCCTCCATGGCTTCTGCTAGGTTCCTGCCCTATCTGTGTTCCTGCCCTGACTTCTCCAGGGTGACCTGGAAGCATAAGATAAAGTAAACTCTTCCTCCCACACACCCAAGTTGCTTTTGTTATGTTGTTTCATCACAGTAATAGAAACTTTTAAAACTAACTTAAAAAATTAGAGTAAACTCTCTCTCTCTTATATTCCCGGCTTTAAAGATTTATTTATTTATTATATATACAGTGTTTTGCCTGCATATATCCCTGCAAACCAGAAGAGGGCACCAGATCTCATTACAGATGGTTGAGAGCCACGATATGGTTGCTGGGAATTGAACTCAGAACCTCTGGAAGAGCAGCCAGTGCTCTCAACCTCTGAGCCATCTCTCCAGCCCAAGAGTAAGTTCTTTAAAACAAGCCAGGCAGTGGTGGCGCACACCTTTAATCCCAGCACTCAGGAGGCAGAGGCAGGTGGATCTCTGTGAGTTCAAGACCAGCCTGGTCTACAAAAGCTAGTTCCAGGACAGCCTCTAAAGCCACAGAGAAACCCTGTTTCGAAAAACAATAAATAAACAAATAAACAAATAAAATAAGGCTGAGTATATACCACAGTAGAAAAGTGCTTGCCTAGTATGCTGAGGCCAAGTTAACTCCCTAGGACCACATAAATGAACAAAACATAGTCATGAACCATGAAAAACAATGACTTAGCTTTTACAAGCTTTACTTTACTTTTCTTATCTGTAAAATGAAGATAATGATACCTTTGCCTCAGAGTTGTGAGGCCAACAGTAACCTGAGTACAATTGTGAATATTCAAGAACAAAGGCAATTACCAGGCTCAGTGCACTTACCTGTGACCTGGAAGGGAGCCTGGATGAGCCGCTGCTGAACGCCCCTGAGAAGCTCTTCTATCTCCTTCTGTATATTACAGATTACCTCATCCATCAACCCTACATCAGCTATTCCTTTCCAGAACATCAAAGTGTCCTCTGGCACAAGAAGGAAAAGACAGAAGGTAAACAGAGACATTACCCAGATACCTCTGCACATGTCTACACTGTTAATTTCAATTCAAAAGGAATCTGTACTAAAACATGAAAGACTAGCTGCCTCCATGTGTTGGTACCTAATTATTAGCCCCTTCAGTCACTAGGGGCTTGAGATAATTGCCTTAATTTGTCATGCCACTGATTTGTTATTATTCTGGCTATAAAAACAGACATCCCACTCCAATAAAGATATTCAGTTAAATATTAAATAGGCATTCAATATTTAAGACTAAGTATTACTTTATTAAATTCAATTTTAATTTTGCTTTCAATTAGATAAGACTTAATTTTACAAAGGCTAGCTAATAAAGATATTAAGCTAAATATTAATTAAAGATATTCCCTCTAGTTGTACACTAAACCAAGCAGCTGGGTAGGAGGGACTATATGTTTTCCTAGGGTGGTGGCTAAATCTCTTCATGTATGTATCCAGCAAATAGCAACACTGTCAGACATGCAACAACTATTTACTAAATGAATGATTAGAGGGAGAAAGTGATGAAGCTCTTCCTGGTCCCTTCTAAGGGAATTAATAGTCACTGTACTTTAAGTCACCTGCTACTTAACTTTGCCTTCTAACATCTCCAAGTTTGATTTACCTAAGAAATGTACCAGGGGCTGGAGAGATGGCTCAGAGGTTAAGAGCACTTACTGCATGTTCTTCTAGAGGTCCTGAGTTCAATTCCCAGCAACCACATGGTGGCTCACAACCATCTATAATGAGGTCTGATGCCTTCTCCTGGGGTACAAGCATGTACACAGATAAAAAACTATAAGCGTAATAAATAAATAATTAAAAAAAAAAAGAAATGTAGCAGAAGCCAGGCATTGGTGGTTCACACCTTTAATCCCAGTACTCGGGAGAGTGACAGGTGGATCTCTGTGAGTTTGAAGCCAGCCTGGTTTACAGAGCCAGTTCCAGGAGAGGCTCCAAAACAATACAGAGAAACCCTGTCTCGGGAAAAAAGCGTACCAGAGATGGAAACAGCTGGTAATAAGAAAAGCATGGACAATGGAGCCAAACAGCCAAACAGTCTTGGACCACCTTAAACCTCAATCCCTCCATGTGTAAAATGTGATTTTGCAGGATGATTAAAAGGAGATTATCCCAGTTATAGCTAGTATTCCTGTTTAGGAGGAAGACCAGCAGAAGCAATGAAGGTCTGCTTTTTCATAAACAACACCATAAACCTATAAACCTACAGGAGGACATGGGCTATACAGGAGGACATGGGTTACACAGGAGGACATGGGCTACACAGGAGGACATGGATTACACAGGAGGACATGCGTTACACAGGAGGACATGAGTTACACAGGAGGACATGGGTTACACAGGAGGACATGGATTACACAGGAGGACATGGGTTACACAGGAGGACATGGGTTACACAGGAGGACATGGGTTACACAGGAGGACATGGGTTACACAGGAGGACATGGGTTACACAGGAGGACATGGGTTACACAGGAGGACATGGGTTACACAGGAGGACATGGAGGACATGGGTTACATAGGAGGACATGGGTTACACAGGAGGACATGGATTACACAGGAGGACATGGGTTACACAGGAGGACATGGATTACACAGGAGGACATGGGTTACACAGGAGGACATGGATTACATAGGAGGACATGGGTTACACAGGAGGACATGGGTTACACAGGAGGACATGGATTACATAGGAGGACATGGGTTACACAGGAGGACATGGGTTACACAGGAGGACATGGGTTACACAGGAGGACATGAGTTACACAGGAGGACATGAGTTACACAGGAGGACATGGAGGACATGGATTACACAGGAGGACATAGGTTACACAGGAGGACATGGGTTACACAGAAAAGTACCTGAAATTTCCTCAGAGTCCTTTTTTATACCCTCTTCTGTGGCCATGGTGACAGCAGCAGTGAGAGCTGAGTTCCACTCTAGCCCAGCTTCTTCCATGCTCTCTTCTGAGATGGCAATCTGTGTGATGTTACCTAAGTGAGTTAGAAACAAAGCTGGTCAGTTACATGAGGAAAAGTAATAGTTATCTTCTCATACTCAGACAGAAAGACCTTGTGATTTTAACAAGCTGCTTCTTGCCTACATGTCCATATTTTAAAATCCAGATCGCTAGGTAAGCCAGGATGAACACTGAGTTTCTAAAGAAAACTTGCCTTGAAAAGGAAAAAGCCTTCTTTTTACTTTGAATAGAAAAAGAACAACAACAACAAAAAAAAAAAAAAACCACTCCTAGGGCAGTCTGCTTCCCAGACAGATGGTTTTGAAAGTGACTGAGGGCAGGTATGCCTGCCAGACCATCCACTCACTCTAGACTCGCTGAGGATGAGAAAGGCCTAGGGTGATTTAAAAGCAGTGTGCGTGTGTCAGGAGCTACACACATGTATGATAGTAAGCATCTAGAATATCTGAGGCTTCCATAGCTAGTGATTCAGACTGGAATGAGAAAGCAAGAGAAACAGAGACAAAAGAAAGAAAGGAAAGAAGGAAGGAAGGAAGGAAGGAAGGAAGGAAGGAAGGAAGGAAGGAAGGAAGGAAGGAAGAAAATCAGGTAAGAGATCCATGAATAATAGACACAGACATGGAACTGGAAAGATGGCTCAGTGGTTAAAAGCTCGCCGGGCATTGGTAGCTCACGCCTTTAATCCCAGCACTCGGGAGGCAGAGGCAGGCGGATCTCTGTGAGTTCAAGACCAGCCTGGTCTACAAGAGTGAGTTCCAGGACAGCCTCCAAAGTCACAGAGAAACCCTATCTCAAGCCCCACCCAAAAAAAGAATCAAACACATGAAAATTCTTTGCTAGATACTTCTCAGCACTCAGGAGGCAGATGCAGGAGGTGTCCTAAGCCAGCTTGGACTACATAATCAGACTATATCTCAAAATAAATCAAATCAAAACAAAGCAACAGCAACAACAACAACAAAACAGAATGTTGGCCCTAAATCTGAGCTGGTCTACACAGTAAATTGCAGACCAGCCAGGGCTCTATAGGAAGATCCCACCTAAACAAACAAACCCTGAGGATCAGTGTGTTCCCACCTTACTCATCTGTGAAGAAGTCTAGGTTGGTACACTGGGGCTCACTCAGGCAGAACTTCCTGATTCAAGCAGTAGTCTGCTCAGCAAAGCCACTGATGCCTGGCCTCTTCAATATTTGAAGATGTTTGTCATTCTAATCTACCTCTCTAATCTTATCAAGTCTCCATTCAACCTTGACATGCCTGGAGAGTGGCATGAAAAGTGAGAGCAATGAATAAGCCTGTAAGTACAGAACATCTTTCTTTTTTTTTTTTTTTTTTTTGGTTTTTCGAGACAGGGTTTCTCTGTATTGTCTTGGAAGCTGTCCTGGAACTCGCTTTGTAGACCAGGCTGGCCTCGAACTCACAGAGATCCACCTGCCTCTGCCTCCCGAGTGCTGGGATTAAAGGCATGCGCCACCAACGCCCGGCCAGAACATCTTTCTAATGCTTGGTACCTACTGTAAGAAATAATAATGCACCGGGCATTGGTGGAACTTGCCTTTAATCCCAGCACTCGGGAGGCAGAGGCAAGTGGATCTCTGTGAGTTCGAGGCCAGCCTGGTCTACAGAGCCAGTTCCAGGACAGCCTCTAAAAGAATACAGAGAAACTCTTTCTCAAAAAACAAACAAACAAACAAATAAAAAAAAAAGAAAGAAAGAAAGAAATAAGAATGCCCAAACCAGGTGTTGGTAGCACATGCCTTTAACCCCAGCACTCAGGAGGCAAAGACAGGTGGATCTCTGTGAGTTTGAAGCCAGCCTGGTTTACAGAGCAAGTTCCAGGACAGGCTCCAAAGCAATAGAGAAACCCTATCTTGAAACTCCCCCCTCCAAAGAAAGAAAGAAAGAAGACTGCTGGAAATAAACCAGGTAGTGGCTCATGCCTTTAATCCCAGCACTGGAGAGGCAGAGACAGGCAGATCTCTGGCTTTGAGCTAGTTCCAGACAGGCCAAGACTACAAATCCTTGTCTCAAAAACAAAAACAGGAGCGAAGGGTGGTGATGTACACCTTTAGTCCCAGCACTCAGGAGGCAGAGACAGGTGGATCTCTGTGAGTTCAAGGCCATCTTGGTGTACAGAGAGAGTTCCAGGACAGCCAAGACTTTTACATGGAGAAACCCTGTCTCGACAATAACCAAAACCAAAACAAACCAAACAAACAAACAAACAAACAAACAAAAAGAATGCTGGAAATATAAATTAGAGAGAGAACACCTGCTTAGCATGCACAGGCAGTGCTGATATTGATGATGACAATGAAAAAAGAAAAGAAAGCTAGGTGGTGGTGGCGCACGCCTTTAGTACCAGCACTTGGGAGGCAGAGGTAGGCAGATCTCTGTGAGTTCGAGACCAGCCGGTCTACAAGAGTGAGTTCCAGGACAGCCTCCAAAGCCACAGAGAAACCCTGTCTCGAAAAAAACTACAAAAAAAAAAAAAAAAGAAAGAAAGAAAGAAAAGAAAAGAAAAAAGGAATCTGTTTCCAGGACTAGACTCCAGCAAAGATTGCTGTAATACCTTACGACACAGCACAAAAGCACACATATCAATGCTCACAAGAATTGGAAATGCAAAACAATACAGAGAAACCCTGTCTCGAAAAACCAAAAAAAAAAAAAAAAAAAAAAGAATTGGAAATGGAGATATACCAGGGACACCACAAGCATGGTTACTTATGTCTGTGATGCTAGCACTTGGGAGGCAGAAGCAAGAAATCACAGTAAATTCAAGTCTAGCCTGGGCTACACAGTAAAACAGGGTCTCAAAAGCAAAATCCAACAACAAAACCACAAACAATGAGCAGTGAACGGGGAGGAAGTGCTGGTTCACACAGTGGCTCTCCGGGTGGTTTCCTACCCCCTACCATCGGCCGAAGTGGGGGTCTGCACCACACTTGTCTGCTGGCCTGGCACTGGAGCTCTCGCACTGCTGATCAGAAGGTCAAACTTGGTGCTCCTGCAAGTATTGGAGCAAACTTTGTCATGCTGGTAAAAATCGATCTGTCCAGAGTCCATCATTTTCCTGTACGGAGAGACAAGAAGTAGTTCAGTCCACATTGCAACTGTGAGAACTAAGGAGCAGATGGGGATAATCTGCTGAGTCCACAAGGAAGATTAGAGGAGCCTAATAATATCTGAAGCCACTGCATTGTGTAAATTCTAACTGGAATTATAAAATGTTCTTTGTTCCTGCCCACATTGGCCACTATTTCTCTTCAGAGTTTCCTCAACATTAGTACTCTTCACCAAGGAACACTGGGCATTAGAGATGCATACCTATAGTCCCAGCCCTTGGGAGGCAGAGGCAGGTGGATCTCTGAGTTTGAGGCCAGCCTGGTCTACAGAGTGAGTTCCAGGACAGGCTCCAAAGCTACACAGAGAAACCCTGTCCCAAAAACAAACAAAAGTAAAACAACCACAAGCTGGGCAGTGGTGGCACATGCCATTAGTCCCAGCAGCTGGGAGGCAGAGGCAAGTGGAACTTCTATGAGTTCGAGACCAGCCTGAACTACAGAGCAAATTCCATGATAGCTAGTGCGACAGAGAAATCCTATCCTGGGGGGAAAAACAACTGTAAAAGAAACACAAGATGAGAATGCTAGCTTATATCCCAGCACAACTACCAAAATGATACTCAGGTTCAAAATGAGGATTTTGTAAGAGATTCTGATGAATTATTATTCCTAGACTGGGAAGACAGGTGGTAGGCTAGACTGGCTTCCAATGTTACAGAAAATGGTCTTGATCCCTCCCTTTCTCCATCTCTCAAGAACTGAGATAAGAGACTGGCATCACCCACCACACCTGGCTAGTATCAGTTTCAGATGCCTAGTTCATTGTCACTTACAGAGATATAGCATTTCAGAAGACAGAGAGGCAGAGAGAGGAATGAAAAGTGGGGAGGAAAGGAAAAGGGAGAGGAGAGGGGAAAGTGAGGGCTAGATTCTCGCTGCTAGAAGCTATGGCACAGCAGTATCCAGTCTGTCTAGCATGTGTGAGGCAGTCAGTTCAATCTAACAGCAAAAAAGTAATCCACTAAAAAGTAAAGAGAAAAAGTAAGTGAAGTTTACAAAACTAAGATGTCTTCTAGAAATAATGTACAATGTTGATGGCATTAAACCCCTCTGGAAAATGTCCTTGTAACAAGACCCATGAGACCATGCTATAACCAGGAGGCATTTGAATATAGTACACTCCATGTCATCATGTCTTGACTTTCACTAACAGATCTCTAGGCATTCTGAGTCCTTTTGACATTTGTGGAGGACTGGCCCATGCTCCTCTTCCTGAGCAGATAAAACAAGTCAAGAACGAAACAGAAAGGTAAAGACAGGCATTCCTCCCAGATCATTCAACTGCAATGGAGCCCAGGAGCTGGGATCTGCTGAGAGTGTGACTCCATCACTGAGAAACCATGCCCAATGGAAGCAGTCACTCGTCTGTGTTATTTTCCACACAGGATTTCTTTTTGTAGACCCGACTGGTTATGTAGTCCAGCTTGACCTGAAACATGAGATCCTCCTGCCTCTGTCTCCCATGTGCCGGGATTAAAGATGCCACCTCATCTGGTTGGACACTTCTAATTCTTTTTTTTTTTTTTTTCTTTGGTTTTTTTCAAGACAGGGTTTCTCTGTATTGTTTTGGAGGCTGTCCTGGAACTCGATCCGTAGACCAGGCTGGCCTCGATCTCACAGAGATCCGCCTGCCTCTGCCTCCTGAGTGCTGGGATTAAAGCTGTGTGCCACCAATGCCTGGCTTTTTTTTTTTTTTTTTTGACACTTCTAATTCTTGACCTTAAAATTTTTGTGTTTTAGAGAGCTAGAGAGATGGCTCAGCAGTTAAGCATACTGACTGCTGTTCCAGAGGACCTGGGTTCAATTCCTAGTACCCACATGGTAGCTTATAACTGTCCGTGACTCCAGTTCTGGGAGACCCAACACTTATGGCAAAACACCAATGTACATAATATAAAAATAAATAAATGCTTTGCCTGTGTACTATATACACATCTGATTTCCATGAAGGCTAGAAGAGGGTGTTGGATTGCCTTGGAACTAGAGTTACAGAGGGTTGAGAGTCATCATGTGGGTGCTGGAAACTGAACCCTTAACCTCTGGTAGAGCAGCCAGTACTCCTAACAGCTGAGTCATCTCTCCAGCCCAATGCTTACATTAAAATTTTCTGTCTATCAGCAGGTGAACATTCAAGGCATACTAACTAACACATTCAAGAGGGAAAACTACAATGGTAAACTTGTTGGAGGAAAATAAATGGTGGGGTAGGGGCTGTTTCATACACTGACATCTGTTTTTGTTAGACAGTGATACAGAGACTGCAAACACTATGCCTGGCATTTCTCAACAGTGGTCTTCTACTTTCACAGGCTATCCCAGGATCTGTCAGTCATGACTGCTGCACTTACTCAGCACCCGGCTTTGCTTTTTTGATGTGAGAAGACAGGGAGGACTGTCAGCAACTTGGAGCTTCTATGCCAAGAAAGCATCCTGTCCAACCTCCTGACATCAGCACACTCAGCTATACAGCAAGTTGTGGACTAAATGGAACTAAATGAGACTCACCAAACTAAAAAGAAAGAAGGAAAACTCTAATAGAGATGCTGGAAATAGTTAATTAGTTTGATGTAATAGTTAGAGGTTACAGGGGTATAATTCAGTGGTAGACCGCTTACGTAGCACGCACAAAGCCCTGGGTTCCATCCCTATTATCACAAAGCAAAAAAAGAAAAGAAAGATTAAGGGCAAGTCGATGAAGGTCACACAGTGTGGGAGAGTAACCCTGACTGAGTGTGTCACTGGGACGCAAGGGACTGTCATTAGCACTCACCTGAGCATGATGCCGCCGAGACGAATGGCTCTCTTCCAGTCCTTCAGAGTGGACTTGCCAGCCAGATGAACAAAATGCTTGGGGCTGATCAACTGATCATTGAACTAAAGCAAAAAAGAAAAATCCAAATTGATCCAGTGTCAACCTAGGTAGGTCAACAAGGGAAGAATGAAATAATGCCACTTGTTTCTTTTGGTTTTTTTTTGTTTTGTTTTTTTGTTTTTTCGAGACAGAGTTTCTCTGTATTGTTTTGGAGGCTATCCTGGAACTCACTCTGTAGACCAGGCTGGCCTCGAACTCACGGAGATCCGCCTGCCTCTGCCTCCCGAGTGCTGGGATTAAAGGTGTGCGCCACCAACGCCCGGCTGAAATAATGCCACTTGTTATACACAAAAGCCTCAGACCATATTACAAGCCGTATCAGTGTCACCCAACCTCCTGTCTTATGGTATCAAACATTATCCCTCTCTGAGTATGTGTCCTTTCCTAGGACAAAGTTACAGAGGATGAGAATGAGAAATAAACATGCTACATAGCATCTACGAATACATTTATATACTGAAGCAGGGGGCTGGGTCTAGTGTTCCAGGTACTGGACAAGTAACTGAAGAAATCTAAGTAGTGCTGAAGATGGATGGGCCATGGAGATAACTCATTGGAAAAGTCCTAATTGTGCAAGACTACAGACTGACTTCAATCCCAGAAATCACTTAAATAGTAGAATCTGTGAATTGCATCTGTAGTTCCAGTACTCTTTTTTTCCCAAGACAGGGTTTCTCTGTGTAGCTTTGGAGCCTGTCCTAGAACTAACTCTGTAGACCAGGCTAGCCTCGAATTTACAAAGATCTACCTGTCTCTGCCTCCTGAGTGCTGGGTGTAACCACCACCTGGCTCCAGCACTCTTTTTTTGTTTGTTTGTTTGTTTGTTTGTTTGTTTTTTAAAGATTTATTTATTATTATTATTATTTTTTTTTTTTGGTTTTTCAAGACAGGGTTTCTCTGTATTGTTTTGGAGCCTGTCCTGGAACTCACTTGGTAGACCAGGCTTGGTCTCGAACTCACAGAGATCCACCTGCCTCTGCCTCCCGAGTGCTGGGACTAAAGGCGTGCGCCGCCACCACCCGGCAAGGATTCAAGATGTTAGAAAGAGTAAATATAGTAGAACATCAACACTGCAGAGTCTCAGAACTCTGAAATACTTCTTAGCCTAGGCTAGTACCACTAAACTCCCATGGCGACAATATGACAATGTACAGGAATCACTATGGCTACCAAAGGAGGCAAAAACCACTGTGGCTAACAACGGAGGCAGAATGAACAACTACTGACAGATGCTCTGAGGAGATTTTTTTAATTTCTTTTTTTCTTGAGACAGAGTCTCACTGTGCAGCTCTGTCCAGCCTTGAACTCACAGCAGTCCGCTTGCCTCTGCCTCCCAAGTGCTGGGATTAAAGGTATGCACCACTATGCCTGGCTCTCATGAGAGTTCTCATTTGTTTGGTTTTTTTTTTGGGGGGGGGAGCAAGGTTTCAATACAGCCCTGGCTGATCTAGGATTCTATGTGTGTAGGCCAGGTTGGCCCTGAACTCACAGAGATCCACCTGCCTCTGCTTCTAGTTCTGTCATTAAAGGTGTGCACTACCATATTTCTTGGGTATTATGAGACAGGGTCTCATACTCTATCACCTCTTGGCCTCAAACTTAAAGCAATCCTATTGCTTACATGCTGGGATTACAGGCATGACCCATTATGCCCTACTTATCAACAACAATTCTGAATAAAGCCTATTATGGAGCTGGAGAGATGGCTCAGAGGTTAAGAGCACTGACTGCTCTTCCAGAGGTCTTGAGTTCAATTCCCAGCAACCACATGGTGGCTGACAACCATCTACAATTCAATCTGGTGTATATGTAATAAATAAATAAATCTTTAAAAAAAAGCCTATTATGATGCATACCAGTTCAAGGCATGTTACATATATGATCTCATTCACTACAGCATAGTGTATGTGCTGTATAAATTTGTGTGTTCATTTTTATGTGTGCATATTGATGGGAATGGTTACTATTTTAATAAACAAGGTTCCAAAAAAATTTTTTAACCGGGCGTTGGTGGCACACGTCTTTAATCCCAACACTTGGGAGGCAGAGGCAGGCGGATCTCTGTGAGTTCAAAGCCAGCCTGGTCTACATAGAGTTCCAGGACAGCCTCCAAAGCTACACAGAGAAACCCTGTCTCGAAAAAATAACAGGATTCTTTGTACAGCCCCAGCTGTCCTGGAACTTACTTCATAGACAGGTGGGACTCAAATTCAGAGATCTGCTGGGATTTAAAGGGCTGAGGGTAAAGGTATACGTCACAATGGCCAGCAAGGCTCTGAAATATTAATTATTAAATAAATTTCTCAAAACCACATGGCTAGACAGAGGTAGGTTCCATCCATTTATTCATTTACTTGATGCAAGTAATTATCAAACACTATTACATGTCAGGTGCCATTCAGGGACAGCCCGTGTCATGCACAAGGCCCTGCAACCACCACCAAGGCATATATAATACACTAGGTTTACCTTGGTGAGAACACACAGTGTTCTCTTGCACATGCTCCAGTGGAAGTAGAGCCAGGCCCATTTATTTCAAAACCCTTCTTTTCTTTTTTTTTAAAAGATTTACTTATTTTGTATACAGTCTTCTGTCTGCATGTTTGCCTGCAGGCCAGAAGAGGGCACCAGATATCATTATAGATGGTTGTGAGACATCATGTGGTTGCTGGGAATTGAACTCAGGATGTCTGAAGAGCAGCCAGTGCTCTTAACCTCTGAGCCATCTCTCCAGCCCCAAACCCTTATTTTCTACTGTGACAGCATAAGAAAAAAAGCTGTGGGGACAGCAAGATGGCTCAGTTGATGAAGGCATTTGCTGCCTGTAGGAAGCGGCAAGCCCTGAGTGAGTGAAGTCCTATGGGAATGTCTATTCTTGTTGTTTCAAGACAGGGTCTCACTATGGAGCCCTGGATGTGCTGGAACTAGACCAGGCTGGCCTTGCCTCTGCCTGTCAAATTCTGGGATTAAATGTATGCACCATTATGCCTGGCTGGGGATATGTATTTTGACATGGGTACAGCCATGCCAAGATAGCCCAAAGCCTCAGATCATGGGGCACTTGGCAAAACATTGACTCATACTGGCCAGGTTCACAAATTCAAATTCAAGTGCTTATGAATAATCGATCAGTATGAGTACAGACTAGCAATTTCAGCTTCCTCCTCCCAGATGTTTATACCTACACAGATCTACTACCAAGATTACCTAACCTGTCTCTCTATGCTGTACCTAAAATGTAACACGCTGAGGTTTCAGGTAGAGGTTAGAGGAGCCCCACCTGACCCCAGCTTTACTGTACATGTGGCTGTCCTTTCTTCATTCCCTTGATGCCCCTAGCTAGGGTTCCAGGACTCTATAGTCATGCTGGAGCAGCAGTTGCCAAGTCTGACGAACAGAGTTCAATCCTCAGATGACCACACTTGGTGTAAGGAGAGAACAGACTGCTGCCAGCTTCCTCTGCCCTTTACACGGGTGCCACGCAAAATAACTAAAGAAATGTAATAAAAACTAAAGATAAAAACAGCTATCAGCCGGGCGTTGGTGGCTCATGCCTTTAATCCCAGCACTCGGATCTCTGTGAGTTCGAGGCCAGCCTGGTCTACCGAGCGAGTTCCAGGACAGCCTCCAAAACCACAGAGAAACCCTGTCTCGAAAAACAAAAAACAAAAAACCAAAAAACAACTGCAAAACAGAAAGCTGCTGACTGAAGCTGGAAGCATAGCTCAGAAGCAGAGCCCAGCATTTCCCTGCAGAGGCTGATCTGGTGAAAGATATAAGGCACTGAAACAAAGCCTTAAGACTGAAGACAATTACCTTGACACATTTCACATTTATTCCTGGACACACAAACTTCTTCCAGAGGAGGATGGCTTTACTCTCTCCACAGGTAATAGGGTAAGCAATTTCCATATCTTCGTTTGCTTCTATACTGCTTGCATCTGAAAATGGAAAAAGCAACCGGCTATTTATTTAACAATTTTTTCCTAAACTGAAATTCCAAATGTACATTTTTGGGTTCCTTTCAGGACTTTTTTTTTTTGTTTTTTGTTTTTTTTTGTTTTTTCGAGACAGGGTTTCTCTGTGGCTTTGGAGGCTGTCCTGGAACTAGCTCTTGTAGACCAGGCTGGTCTCGAACTCACAGAGATCCGCCTGCCCTTGCCTCCCGAGTGCTGGGATTAAAGGCGTGTGCCACCAACGCCCAGCCAGGATTTTTTTTTATATATAGGGTCTCATGTAGCTCAGGCTGGCCTTGAACTCAGTATACAGTAGATGATTCTGCACTCTAACAACTGAACTATTATTCCCACCACTAACAGGGCATTCTTAAAAAAAATTTTTTTAGCCAGGCGTTGGTGGTGCACGCCTTTAATCCCAGCACTCCGGAGGCAGAGGCAGGAGGATTTCTGAGTTCGAGGTCAGCCTGGTCTACAGAGCAAGTTCCAAGACAGCATCCAAAACAATACAGAGAAACCCTGTCTCGAAAAACAAAAAAAATGTTTATGTGTATGGGTGTTTTGCCTGCGTGCAAGTTTGTACATCAATTGTTTGTCCGATGCCTACAGAGACCAGAAGAGAACAGTGGATCCCTTGGAACTGGAATTATGATGGCTATGAGTTGCCTTGTGAGTGCTGGGAATCTAAGCCAGGTCCTTGAAGCAAGTGCTCTTAACCACTTAGTAATCTCTCCAGCCCCAGGAATACTTTTGAAGCTAATATAACAGCTATGTCAGCCGGGCGTTGGTGACGCACGCCTTTAATCCCAGCACTCGGGAGGCAGGGGCAGGCGGATCTCTGTGAGTTTGAGGCCAGCCTGGTCTACAGAGGGAGTTCCAGGACAGCCTCCAAAGCCACAGAGAAACCCTGTCTCAAAAAAAAAAAAAAAAAATAACAGCTATGTCTTACCAAGCTACCAATGTGTGAAGACACTAACAACATATATTCTCCCTCTCTCTCTCTCTCGTTTTTCAAGACAGGGTCTCCCTGTGTAGCTTTGGAGCCTGTCCTAGAACTCGTTCTGTATACCAGGCTGGCCTGGAACTCACAGAGATCCGCCTGTCTCTGCCTCCTGAGTGCTGGGATTAAAGGCGTGCGCCACCACTGCCCGGCTGCCATGAACTTTTTATGAAACCAAGGATGGCCTTGAACTCCTGATCTTTTTTTTTAATTAATTTATTTTTATTTGATGGGCATTGGGGTTTTGTCTGCGTGTGTGTATGTATGTGTGAAAGTGTTGGATCCCCTGGAACTGTAGTTACAGACAGAGCTGTCATGTGGGTGCTGGGAATTGAACCTGGGTAGAGTGGAAGAGCAGCCAGTGCTTTTTTTTTTTTTTTTTGGTTTTTCGAGACAGGGTTTCTCTGTGGCTTTGGAGGCTGTTCTGGAACTCGCTTGGTAGTCCAGGCTGGTCTCGAACTTACAGAGATCCGCCTGCCTCTGCCTCCCGAGTGCTGGGATTAAAGGTGTGCACCACCAACACCTGGCTGCAGCCAGTGCTTTTTTTTTTTTTTGGTTTTTTCGAGACAGGGTTTCTCTGTGGCTTTGGAGGCTGTCCTGGAACTAGCTCTTGTAGGCCAGACTGGCCTCAAACTCACAGAGATCCGCCTGCCTCTGCCTCCTGAGTGCTGGGATTAAAGGCGTGCACCACCAACGCCCGGCGCAGCCAGTGCTTTTAATCACTGAGCCAGCCATCTATCCAGGCCCTGAACTCCTGATCATGCTGCCACTATTTCCAAAGTGTCAGTATTACAGGCTTGAGACAACACACCCAGTATTTTAGTTCTTACTATAATCTTATAAGATGGTAATTACTTCCTGTTTTCCATATAAATATAAGGGCTTCAAAAAGAGAAGTGAATTTCCTGAGAATACAGAGCAAAAAATGTAAGAAAGATTTGCTTTGTTTCTAAGTTTTCTTTCATTGGCTATTTCCTGTCAATATAATACCTTTTTAGTCTTCACCTAGTGACAGGGATCAATCTAAAAGGTCCCTTTCCTTCGTGGGACTATGTTAAGACAGGGTCTTTCTATACAGCCCAACCGAAACATAATCTTCCTGTCTCGGCCCCCAACTGTTGAGATTATAGGTATTCCTCACCATGCCCAGTGTGATGAGGGGGTGGAGGTGAGGAGGACGCAGGACTAATGACTGAATCTAAGTCCTTGCATATGCAGGGAGCATTTTATTTTTATTTTATTTTATTTTATTTTAATGCGCCTAACCCTCTGGCTTTAAACTTGCTCTTAAGTGCAGATAAGCCCTAAACCTGTGGTTCCTTAGCCTCAGCTTCCCAAGTAGCTAGATTTACAGATTCACATCACAGGTTCCATGGGTTTTTTGTTTTGTTTTTAATCCCCCCCCCACACACACACACACAATGATGCTTAGGGATTTCCCCATATCCACTCAAACTAAACATTTTATCCCATCCCTCTTTGTAGGATTTTTATAAACAAAAAAACTTTTTTTGGCTACTGTAACATATTGATATTAAGAGATCAAGTGAGGTCTACCATCTTTTTTATTGTTTATTTTTATAAACAAAAAAAACTTTTTTGGCTACTGTAACATATTGATATTAAGAAATCAAGTGACAGGTCTACCATCTTTTTTATTGTTTATTTATTTATTTATTTATTTGGAGACAGTTTTTCTATGTAGTTCTGGCTGTCTAGGAACCTGGAACTCAAAGATCTGTCTGCGTCTGCCTCCTGAGTGCTGGGATTTAAGGCATGAGTCACATGCCTGGCAAGTCTGCCATCTTAACTGGCAGTATCAGTAGGTCACCTGCATGGGTAGGGACAGAGAGTAAGGCACAAAAGGCCAGAAGTCACAGATTGGGGGCTGCCCTGTAGTGGAGCACCAGTCTGGCTTGAACAAGATCGCAGGTCCCATTCCCAGGGATTTACAAAAGCATACAGAAACCCTCAACCAAAAAGCTGAGTCCAATGTGCTAGATAGAATGGCAGAAAGACTCACCGATTCCTTCTTCAATTTTGTGTATCGTGTGGGTTTCTACGGCTACAACTGCTGCGTTGTTCTCCGACCCAGCATCATAAATCCTGTTGTGAAAGTGTCCATCGATAAACAAACTACATAAATCATGAAAAAATTAATATTCACAGCATGGAGTTAAGACATTTGTTTTAGTCTATCCCAAAAGGAGTAGAATAAGTGTATTTTACAACATTACCTCAGTACTTTGACAAGTTTCCCACTGCACTTAAACTCCATGAGACCCATGATTGCCAGGCAGTTAATACCAGGAAAATGAAACAACTCACTTCACTCCAAGTAAATTAACATTTGCTACATGCATGTGCTCCCTTTGTATTACAATGCCTTTTTCCTTAATAACTTTAATGATTTATGCTACTTATGTATATAAAACAGTGTGGCTGGGCGTTGGTGGCGCACGCCTTTAATTCCAGCACTTGGGAGGCAGAGGCAGGCGGATCACTGTGAGTTCGAGACCAGCCTGGTCTACCGAGCGAGTTCCAGGACAGCCTCCAAAGCCACAGAGAAACCCTGTCTCGAAAAACCAAAATAAATAAATAAATAAATAAATAAATAAAAATAAAACAGTGTGGCTGGGCGTTGGTGGCGCACGCCTTTAATCCCAGCACTCAGGAGGCAGAGGCAGGCGGATCTCTGTTAGTTCGAGGCCAGGCTGGACTACCAAGCAAGTTCCAGGACAGCCTCCAAAGCCACAGAGAAACCCTGTCTCGAAAAACAAAACAAAACAAAACAAAACAGTGTGATTGTTTGTATATATACACACACACTTACTTGGGAGTGCATGCATGCATGCATGTGTGCACCTAAAACAGGAGGGGTTGTCAGAATCCATGGAGCTAGAGTTACAGGTGGTTATGAGCTGCCTGATGTGGGTACTGGGAACCAACTTGGGTCCTATGAAGAACAACATGCTCTATTTAAATGCTGAGCCAACTCTCCAGCCCCTTGCTCAGTAACTTTAAATCACTGGTTCTCAACCTTCCTAATTCTGAGACCCTGAAAAAAACCAAAACAAAACTGGGATCATAGCCAGGTAGTAGTGTCGCATGCCTTTAATTCCCATACTCAAGAGCCAGAGCCTGGTCTACAGAGTGAGTTCCAGGACAGCCAGGGTAACATAGAGAAACCCTGTCTCAAAAAACAAAACAAAAGCAAAAAAAAGTGTTTATTACCATTCCCACCTGTGATCCCAGGTTCACTCACCGGCACCTAAATATAGGTTATCAACCATCTCTAACTCCAGGCCTCTGTGGACACCATGTGCATATGGCGCTCAAAAGACATGCAGCCCACATTAAAAAACAAAGCAACGCCGGGCGTTGGTGGCGCACGCCTTTAATCCCAGCACTTGGGAGGCAGAGGCAGGCGGATCTCTGTAAGTTCGAGGCCAGCCTGGTCTACAGAGCGAGTTCTAGGACAGCCTCCAAAACAATACAGAGAAACCCTGTCTCAAAAGACCAAAAAATAAACCAAAGCAACATCAACTAATGAAAACAAAAAATACTCATTATGAATCTAAAATGTCCTGGAGAGTCAAGAATGGTGACAGAATCTTGGTAACTTCATTTCTTCTGAGAACTCTAAATATGTTATAAAAGAGATGTATTTGAAAAACCGATAATCATTTAAATGGCTTTATTTTATTTGAGATGGTGGAGATGTAACTCAGGGTCTTCTGCATACTAAGGAAGTACTGGACCACTGGTGACAGTTCCAGAACATTTTTATGGTTACTTGGTCTTTTTTTTTTTTTTTTTTTTTTTTTTTGGTATTTCCAGGCAGGGTTTCTCTGTGGCTTTGGAGGCTGTCCTGGAAGTAGCTATTGTAGACCAGGCTGGTCTCGAACTCACAGAGATCCTCTTGCCTCTGCCTCCCGGGTGTTAGGATTAAAGGCATTCTCCATCAACGCCTGGCAGATAACCTGTTTTGAAAAACCAAAATTAAAAAAAAAACAAAACAGCTGGGTGTTGGTGGCTCACGCCTTTAATTCCAGTACTTGGGAGGCAGAAGCAAGCGGATCTCTGTGAGTTAGAGACCAGCCTGGTCTACAAGAGCTACTTCCAGGACAGCCTCCAAAGCCACAGAGAAACCCTGCCTTGAAAAACCAAACCAAAACAAAACAAAACAAAAAAATCCAGGGTCTTGTGTGAGAGAGACTTCTTGCTGCGCTACCACGTATTCCTTACTAACCATCTTCCTGGAGATTCTTCTGACCCCCCATCTCATAATAAGAGTGCTGGATCCAGGTGGTAGTGGTGCACGCCTTTAGTCCCAACACCCGGGAGGCAGAGGCAGGCGGATCTCTGTGAGTTAGAGACCAGCCTGGTCTACAAGAGCTAGCTCCAGGACAGCCTCCAAAGCCACAGAGAAACCCTGTTTTCGAAACAAAACAAAAAGATAGTTTCTACACGCCTTTAGCCTTTAAACCCAGCACTCCGGAGGCAGAGACAGGTGGATCTCTATGAGTTTGAGGCCAGCCTGGTCTACAGAAGGAGTGCCAGGACAGCCTCCAAAACAATATAGAGAAACCCTGTCTCGAAAAACCAAAAAAAAAAAAAAAAAAAAAAAATCAAAATTAAAAAAAGAAGAAATAAAGACTTCTTTTTCTTTTTCCACTCAAGACAGGGTTTCTGTATAGCCCTGGCTGTCTTCAAACTCAAGAGATCTACCTGCCTCAGCCTCCCAAGGGTTGGGATTAAAGACATGTGCCACTACTGCCTTGCCTGAAAGAAAAATGTTAAATTTTATCCTTTAGGGCTATCCTTTAGGGCTAGCATATAGCATAGCTCAGTGGCAGATGATCAGTGCATGTGAGACAGGCCCCCGGTTTAATTCTGGACATTGCAGAACCATTTTAGTCAAACTTTCCTTTCTAATTGATAGTGATCCTCTGAGCTCCCACGTCACTCAACCCTTCCTAGTCTTTGCTATATAAGGATTCCATACTTATATGTATGCACTTTTGTTTTACACTAGATTGCAAGTTTCATGCTGCTGAGGACCTTTTACTCTATTTCTTCTAACACCGTCATAACATATCACCGTGGTGGTGGTGGATAGATATTTGTAATAGACGGAGCTTGATAATTTGCCAATCTGTGACAATTTAGAGCTTATGGTAGAAATAATTTTAGAGCTGCCTTTCTTAGTCTCTGAGTCAACACTGCATTTGAGAAACATGCACCTGGGCCCCTGCTAAACAGTGTGGACAGAGCAGATGAGGGAGCCATGTGAGTCACCCTCAGAAAGCTCTCATGTAAAGACAGAGAGGGACACTAGAAACAGCTGCTATAGTAAGGAGTGAAGGACAGCTTGATGTGGTTGTGTACATCTGTAATCCTGGTAATTGGGAAGAAAAGACAGGAAGATCAGGTGTTCAAGGCTACCCTTCGCAGCATATTAAGTATGAGGCAAGCCTGGGCTACATGAGACTGTCTCAAGAATTACAATCAATCAATAAATAAATAAATAAAACAAAAAGCTCTAAGATGACAGTGGGAGTACCTATGACTGAGATGAAAATCAGTCAGCTCTGACTAATGCTGAATGTTCATGGTGTACTAAACCCCTGTATACTTCATATTTCCCTATTCTTTTAATCTCCCAATAATGCATTTTCAGAATATCCAAATCTCTAGCCACTTACCCTTGTTGCACAGGCTGTAACTGCAAGATCACTTGGGTTTTAGTGTCTTCAGGGTTTTCCCCTTCATTTCCTTCAGTGGGTACCACAACCACATCTCCCACTGGGACACTCACTTCCGCATTAGCCATCTTTCACATGAAGTCAGCTAGCTGGGGCTGCTGTGAGAAACAAGAAATCTTGAAAGATGCAACTGCAGGAAAGGAATGCCGAGATAACACACAGTTCTGAGCACCGTGGGATCACCATCCTCTGCAAAGAATGAGGACTGAGAGGGAGCTGACAGAGGCTGACACAGGCTTAGCATGTTTTCATAGCACATGTGACTCATCCAGGGGTTTGCCAGAGCCAACTCTACCAGCTCCTCAGACCTAATCGTGCATCTCCTCTCAAGTTTAGAGACATCAAATTGGTAGCTTGGGATCACAGCACTGGGATAACGCACAGCACTGAAATTAACAGCACTAGAATTTAAGGTTTTGTTATTGGGTTTTCTCAGGGTTTCTCTGTAGCTTTGGAGGCTGTCCTGGAACTTGCTCAGTGACTAAGCTGGCCTCGAACTCAAAAATCCTGCTGCTGGGCCGGGCGTTGGTGGTGCATGCCTTTAATCCCAGCACTCGGGAGGCAGAGGCAGGCGGATCTCTGTGAGTTCGAGGCCAGCCTGGTCTACAGAGCGAGTGCCAGGACAGCCTCCAAAACTACACAGAGAAACCCTGTCTCGAAAAAAACCAAAAAAAAAAAAAAAAAATCCTGCTGCTGGGATTAAAGACATGAACCGTCACCAAGAGGCCAAGAACTTTTCTTTTTGAGACAGGGTCTCATTCTGAAGCCCAGCCTACTCTCAAACTCAAAGCAATCCTTCTGCCTCGGCTTCAGTGTGCTGGAGGCACAGTGTGAGTCACCAAGCCTGGCTCTAAGAATTTTATATTCCTGTTTCCTTTTAGAGATGGAGTCTCAAATGGCTGACTTGGAACTTACTATGTAGCTGAGAATGACCTTGAACTTCTGATCTTCCTGCTTCTACTGGGAGTCCTGGGACCAAGGTGTGCACCTCCAGGTGGTCACAGGAACATCTCAGTTCGCAGAGTGAATGGAGATTCACCTGTCTGACAACTCCTTGCAGAGCTACTGAGGAAATCATTACCAAGTACCATGTGCTCCTTCAATCTAAAGTACTAACCCAATCTTTTTTATTATTGCTGTTTGTGTACATGCCAAGGAACACACATATAGGTCAGAGGACAGCTTTCAGGAGTCAGTTCTCTCCTTCCACCATGGAATTTAGGTATCTAAATCAGGACATCAGGCTTTCGTGGCGAGCACTTTTACCTATTTCACTATCTGGCTGTCCCCATTGTCCCAATCTTTATGAAAACACAAAGGGTCTCAGGATATCCTATAGCTATTAGCCTTTAGAGTTCAGGAAAAATGATTTTTACAGTACTAGAGACCCAACTCACAGCCTCATGCATGGTTGGTAAGCACTCTGACACTTGAGCTTCCCTGAGCTACATCTGCAATCCTTTATTTGTTCTGCTGCTTCTGGGGCACGCACATGTGAGCAAGTGTTTCACAACTGAACTACAGTCCATAGCTCTTGGTTCCTTTCTTCCTCTCTTAATTATTTGAAACAGGGTTTCTCTGTGCAGCTTTGGCTGTCCTGTAATCAATCTGTAAAACAGAACTTAAGAGATCCTCCTACCTCTGACTCCCAAGTGCTGGGATTAAAGGTGTATGCACCACAACACTCAGCTTGTTCTTGGTTTCTCAAGACAAAGTCTTGTGATGGAGCTCAGGCTAGCCTCAAATTTCTGCTTCTGACTATCAGGTGTATGCCATCAGTCTCAGTGCCTAGGCACTGTTTTATCTAAACATCTTTGTGCCTCCCTCATTCTCCTCAGCTTTGATGCTGACAGATATTTTGATTCAATCACCTTTGAATGTATATATGATCTAGTCAAATTTCTTCATATCTGGTTTTTAATTGCATTCAGTATTTTATTGATTCTATATTCTTGTATTTACTGACCTCTACTACATTAAACCAGACCATGTTCTCTCAAACCTGCTCCTAGATTTCCTTTTTCCCTAAGTGATGCTGTCCCCCTGCCCAATTTCAAAACCAGGGAACTCAGGAGTTATTTTTGCCTCCTCTTTCTAAATCCAATCAGCCACAAAATCCTAGCCAGTCTACAGTGTGTGTAGGTGTGTGTGTGTGTGTGTGTAAGAGAGAGAGAGAGAGATCTTCCCGCTCTCCATCTGTACTGTCAACACTGTATATGGGCTGCCACAGTTACCTGGGTTTTTCAGACTACTTTCCCATAGCCTAACCTTTGGTCTTGAATCCCTTCAATTCATTCCCCACATAGCAACCAAAGTGATCCTACTAAAGGTCACAGGCCTCTTTCCCACTTAATGTATACTTGTTGCTGTGAAATAAAGTGCAAGAACTTTAATGTGGCCTACAAAAGCTTCCAAATCAGCCCCCCTTTTCACAGCTGGCACTCTATGGATTCTGTCAGTGTTATCCAGTTCTGAAAAGTGCAACATTTCCTGGATTGAGCCTCTAACTTGCACTCTGTCCCTAGGGTTCTTTCCCTTCCTTTGGGCTAGTCTCTGTTAACTCTCTGCAGCATCACTTCCTTTGAAGGTCTTCCAGTGACATTACTAGGTTTGAGCTTATGCTCATTTCCCATTATGCATTTCTTTCATGGGGTGGGGACGCTGTTGAGGACTAAGGTGAAGGCTCTTCTGCTTAGCTACAAGGATAGGCTGTTTTGTTCCTACAGGGGTGGTTCTGCTGTGTTGACCAGGCTGATCCCTAACTCCTGGGTCAAAGGGATCCTCCTGCCACAGCCTCCAGAGTGTTGGAATTATAGGTTACTAATTTTGGGGGGGGTGACTTGGGGTGGCCTTGAAAATCACTTCGTCATTAAGGGTGATCTTGAACTCCTGATCCTCCTGCCTCCCTCCACTTTCCAGATGCTGGTATTACTAGCCAGGTGGTGGTGGTAGTAGCAGCCAGATCTTTGTGAGTTTGAGGCCAGCCTAGTCTACAGAGTGAGTTCCAGGACAGCCAGGGCTACACAGAGAAACCATCTCGAAAAATTAAAAACAAAAAACAAATGTGTGTCACTGTGCCAAGTTTTGCAGTACAATTTAAAAAGAAATCCTGAGTTTGTTACATGCTGAAATAGTAGCTTCTAGAAAGTTTGATGTAGGACTGGAAAGATGTATCATGAGGTAAAAGCCCTTGTTGATCTTAGAGAGGACCCAGGTTGGATTCCCAGCCCCTACATGGGGGCTCTCAACCACCTTAACTCCAGTTCCAGGGGGTCTGATGCACTCCTGAACTTCCTAGGCACACACATGGTGCACATGCATACATATAGGCAAAACCCTTATATGCATAAAAAAATCTTTTTGTCTTGGTTTTTTTGAGACTGGGTCTCATTATGCAGCTTTGGCTATCCTGAAACTCAGGTTGGTATAAACTAAAGTATATCATTCCCCTTGCCCCCCCCCCAACACACACCCAAGGTTTCTCTATGCAAACCTGGCTGTCCTGGAGCTCACTATGTAGACCAGGCGGCTTCAAACTCAGAGGTCCACCTGCCTCTGCCTTCCCAGTGCTGGGATTAAACACATGTACCACCTTGCCCAACTAAGAAAGTAAAATCTTATTTATTTATTTTGGTTTTTCGAGACAGGGTTTCTCTGTATTGTTTTGGCAGCTGCCCTGGCACTCGCTCTGTAGACCAGGCTGGCCTCGAACTCACAGAGATCCGCCTGCCTCTGCCTCCCGAGTGCTGGGATTAAAGGCGTGTGCCACCAACGCCTGGCAAAAGTAAAATCTTAAAAATAATTTTTAAAAAACACATGCTTTTAGTGGCAGAGAAGAGAGTCCATGTCAACATGGTGATTCATAATTCTTCAATAAATGAATTTTTAGTAAATTACCTTAGAGATCACATTTCTAGAGAGTAACCCCAAACCCACAGCAGACTACTTGGTCAACCAAGGTCATCTCTGTAAGCTGTGTAAACAGAAAACTGCCCATTGTTTATAACAACACAAACTCCTAAGGCAAGGTGAGGGATCTTGTCCCAGGAGTGTTTTACAGAAAAGTCATTGCAATATCCCTTGTGAAATCAGCGTGTTCTGTAATTCTTACGAGACCATACAAAAACATGACAAAACTCTGTTAAGACTGAAGTCAATTTATATAGAAGGACACACTGCAAGGGGAGCACGGCTCAGGGCAGAGGTTTGGCATGAACATGGGTTCAACCTGCTGCAAAGAGTTTCTCTGTAGTTTTGTTGCCCTTGATTTGGTTTGGGTTTGGGGTTCTTGAGACAGGGTTCCATGCAGCCAAGGTTGGCCTCAAACTCACTATGTAGCACCTTGAACTAGTGATCCTCCAGCTTGTACCTCCCAAGTTCAAGACTGCAAGCAAGAGTCCCACACTCAGTTACTTGGGGATTTTGCCTGTTTTGAGATAGTCCAGGCTGGACTTGAATTTTCAATCCTCCTGGTTCAGCCTACAGAGACTGGGATTACAGATAGTAATGAGCTGCTGCTCTGTAGTTATTTTCAAGACAAAAAAAATGACTCTTGAAAGGTGTACCTTGCAGGCCTGGTTACCTGAGTTACATCTATAGACCTCATTCACACAAAGGGAAAAAGAAAGGCCAAACTCCATAACATCCTTTGACCTCCATCCACACAAACACCGTGGTACACCTACCCCTCCCAACAGCATGACCACAAAATAATAAATTCAAAAATTCCAAGTGTGTATGAAGCCAGGCATAGTGTAGTGACACAAGTCTGTAAATCAGCGCTTTTGGAACAGAAGGGTCAAGAACTCAAGGTCACCCTCAGTTACATAAGGAGGTTTAGGGTATATGAAACCTTTTTCCAAAAAAGAGAGGAGGGGTGCCTGGCCAGGTGGCTCAGCAGGTAGAAGCCCTTTTCACCATATATGACAACCTGAGTTTGATCCTCAGGGTACACATGGAAGGACAGGACAAAATCCTGTGTTATTGACCTCTGCAGGTACACCATGACACACATCCTGTCACAAGAACACACACACACAAACACACACATCTTTTTGCTTTTTTTTTTTTTTTTTTTTTTGAGGTAGCTCTGTCTGTCCTGGAACTTACTAGGTATTTTTTGACACAAGGGGGTTCTGGCTGTCCCAAAATCTGTGTAGATCAGGGTCACTTCATACTTAGATATTTGCCTGCCTCTGCCTCAAGTGCTGGAATTAAAGGCATGAGGCACCACTGCCTGGCTTTTTTTTTTTTTTTTTGAGATAGGGTCTCATTATATTGTCAAAGAAATCCACCTGCCTCTGCCTCCCAAACAATATCAGGCTGTTGTGTATGTTTTTTCGACACCGTGGCTCACTGTATCTATTCCATGTTAGCTTGAACTATGTAGCCTAGGCTGGCTTTGAACTTTTGGCAATCCTGCCTCAGATGCTCAGGTGCTAGAATCATAGGTGTGAGATCAAACCAAGTTTATGTGTTTTTCCCCCTTGGCATCTCACCTTGTAACCCTGTTTTGTCTGGAACTCACTATGAAACCCTGCCTAGAAAAAAACAAAAACAAACAAAAAACAGATCTGCCAGCCGGGCAGTGGTGGGCACGCCTTTAGTCCCAGCACTCGGGAGGCAGAGGCAGAGGCAGGCAGATCTCTGAGTTATAGACCGGTCTACAAGAGCTAGTTCCAGGACAGCCTCCAAAGCCACAGAGAAACCCTGTCTCAAAAAACAAAAACAACAACAACAAAAAAAAAAACAACACAGATCTGCCTGCTCTGCCTCCTGGTACTGGAATTAAAGGTGCACACTGCACCATCACTGCTGGATGAAAACAAAGAAATCTTCAAGATGCAACTTATTACTTAAGGAAATGAAGTTTTATATAATTCAAATTGAAGACTTCTACATAGGTGTTTGGAGGTATCAATGGATTAGTCACTCTTTAAAAATAGGGTCCAAACTAGCCCAAAGAAGCTCAGGAGAACGTAGCTAATCAAAGGACTTGATCAAGTATAGATGAAAAAACAAACTATATGACTGAAAAATTAAGAGTAGGCCCAAGCCCTTATGAAAATGTTCCATTAGGCAAGGGGGCTGGGTAGATGGGCAAGCCTCCAGACATGGAGGAAACCCCTACTTCCTGGTTCTCTTTGACACCCTTACAACTCTCCTTTTGGGAATTCAGGCTTTCCCTGCTCCCAGCATAGCCCAGTCTTCCTTCCTCTAATGACTCCTAGGTCAAGACCCTCGGGTAAGACTCTGCCCTCATTTCTCTTACCTCTCAATTAGAGGACACCTGGCCAATTCCCTGTCATTTCTGAAAGCAAGGGGTACCCTCTTCCCAGTAATTATCTCCCCACCCCTCATAACCATAGGTTTCCCTCATCTCCCGGAGCAGAGGACCACCCAGCCCTCCATCAAGCCACCAGAGGTGCTCCAATCTGCAGCCCTCGGGTGGACCCCTCTCCTTCCCACTGCCCCTCATCTTGGGAAGGGCGCTCCTTCCTCCCCCTAGTCCTCGAAAAGGACCTGCCTCCTTCTCCCTAGGTCGGGTGGCCGAGGCCTCTTCCCTCTGACGAAGGCTGGCCCCTACTCCCCACATTCAGCGCACACACCCGCTCCAGCACGCCGCCCCCTCCCCCGGGCGCGACCCAGGCCTGACCCAGGCTCCTCCGCATAAGGCCCGAACTCCCAGACCCCGCCTTTGGGGGGTACCCCAGCACCCCCGGCCCCTCCGCGAGGACTTCCGGGCTCCTCGGTCCGGGGGCGCCGAGCCACCCCCCCCTCGCCCGGCACGCGGCTCGAGGGGCCGGGAGCCCAGGCCCTGCCGGCCACGCTGGGGGCGGCCCGGCTGCTCGGGCGGACCCAGCGGCAGCGTCCCCCCACCCCCCCGCGGCGCCGCGACGTCCGCTCGCTCCCCGGCGGCGGCGGCGGCACGCACAGGGCGTGGGGAGGCGCCCGCGGAGGCAGCAGCCCCCCGCCCCCTGCGCGCCCGCCCGCCCTCGCCGGCCGCCGCGCGGCCCCCGCGCCCGTCCCCCCGCCCCCAGCCCTCGCCGCGCCCGCGCCGCGCGCCCACCCCTCCCCCTCCTCACCGTCTCCGTCGGGCGGGCGGGCGGCGAGCGGCCAGGGCGGGCGGGCGACGGAGCATGCGCACAAGCCGCCACGGCTGCCGCCGCCACCGCCGCCGCCAAGCCGGGCTCCAACACTTCCGGCCGCCGCCGCAGCTGATCTGGCGCCTTAAAGGGGACGCAGTCCTATTGTGCGCCGGTCGGAGGATGCACACTCCTCAGCTTAGCGATTTGGACGGTTCGTGAGCTTAGGCCTTTGGCTGTTGAAAGACAGTGCTGGAGAGATCGCGGGAGACTCCTGGGGGAGAATAAGGCCTAGATGCAAAGGTCAACTCGTCTTGATTCTTTCTCTCTCCCCAAATCCTGTTTCCAGTTTATCAGAGTTTCAGGTTACCAGTGTAAAGTCAAAAGATGTGACTGAGTATAGTCGGTAACCCTTCCTGCGTTTAACCTTTGCTCTTGGCCCAGGCTTTCCTGCTTGTGCGGGTCCTGGATTCAAGTTTGGACTTACTTGGGACGTGTATAGTTATAGTATGACTTGACATTTCTTTTTTTCTTCTTCTTCTTCTTTTTTTTTTTTTTTTTTTTTTTTTTTTTTTTGGTTTTTCGAGACAGGGTTTCTCTGTATTGTCTTGGAGGCTGTCCTGGAACTCACTTTGTAGACCAGGCTGACCTCGAACTCACAGAGATCCACCTGCCGCTGCCTCCCAAGTGCTGGGGTTAAGGGTGTGCGCCACCAACGTCCGGCATGACTTGACATTTCTAAGCCTCTTATTTCCCAAAGGGCGTATGTCGCGCGGGTTCAATGAAATGATACTTGGAAAGTACTCAGGAAAGCTCTTGAGGCCAGTAATACTAACTGGCAAGTTTTAAGACAATGTGGTCAGGC